TTTTGGATCACCTTGTTTAAAAAATAAAGAATTAAAAAAAAAAAAAAAAACACCAACATACATTCCAGGTGCATCAAAACAAAAAGGTGTTCACAGTCGCACAGTTTGTTTTCTTTCTAAAGCTGCCACAGGAGTAGAAAAGCCTGACCCCTGACAGCAGCTGCAGAGTGGGACCCTTGTCTCTGTGGGGATGTAGTGATCTCATTGCAGTGGTCCAAGTCACACCCCCTAAAGCTCTCCAATTAGCAGAGCTCATGCTCCCTGCCGAATGGAATGCCCCGGCTCAGGAGGATGTCAGACCTCTGGAAAAAGATCACTGCTTCCACACAGAAAGCAAAGGTGCCACTCTAAAGAATGCTGACAGGGCACATGTTTTTCTACTCAGGCTGTGGCAGATTTTAGAAATAAACTGTAAGGCCCCTTTGACACAGGTGCTTGTCTGTGCCAATCAGCAGGGATCTGTGCACAGATTCCTTGCTGATAGCAGCAGTTTCGTTGAGACATCTGCGTCTGTCCATGTATGTACCGGACCCATGTTAGGTCTATGTGGAGATAGATGTAAATTAAAATGTGTCTGTTTATATCAAAATACCCCTGATCAGGTATGCCAAAATGGAACTCTGTTCCGTTTGGTTTTCCAGACCTGATCAGAATTGGGTGTAAACAGATGTAAATGGATACCTGTATAGACCACCATATAGACTAAAACTGGGACTTCCGATTAGATCGCCTGAAAAACTGACAGGTGGACCTGATCGGAATGCCTGTGTGAAAGGAACTAAAAGCTGGCCATAGACAGCTCTATTCCCAGCTAAATTAGCCAAAATTCAAAGTCATGGGTGCCCCTGCAAGCGCCACTCAGCTCAACAAAATTGGATGTAAAAATAACAAAAAAAATAAATCAAATCAACTGAGCCAGGTGGAAAATTATCAGCTGACCAGTGACTGCATTCTATCAGGAAATAAAATCACTTTTTGGCAGCACCATTGTATTCAAGAAGCCACGAATGCCTGAATACAATAACTTGCAGTGGAGATTCCTCCATCCATGCTGTTAACAGTCTGAACAAGAGAAAATCAAGCCATGTATGGCCACCTTAAATGACTTTGCACACCTTTTTTTCTATACACCTGTAAAGTGTTAAGCCAATTGAAAGTGAATGTTTACATTTTCTTGAATGCTGTCAACGCACGCAGTGGTGTATGCAACTGCTAAAGAATAAAAAAAAAAAAAAAGGCAAAATGGATTGCTCATTTATTCTACCACCACAGGCATTTGTCTGTGAAACGACAGCTTTAGAGTTAGGTCCTATCCAATTGAAATAGCCACGATCATTTAAAGGACAACTGTTGTGAGAGAAAAATGTACTCTTCCCAATAGTTTGAGCTGGTGCATGACACTGCAGCTGTCACACGCCAGCTCTATAGCTTAAGAATTGAGTGATCACAAAAATCTGATCCCTCAGCTTGCGACTTCTCCTTGCAGAGACCAATAACTGTCAGTCGCCATTCCCCGCAGGAATTCCCCCCTCCCCTCTCTGTTCCTCCAGTGCTTATTGGAGGGACAGACAGGGGGTGGGCACAGCTGGCTCTGGCTGTAGAGAGCCAGAGCCAGCTGTCAATCAGGCAGCAGGCTGGATCCCGACAATATGCAATAGTCCACTATATGCTGACTTTGGGTCACAGAAGTACATTACAAAATGTACTCCTGTGACCCAAAAGAGAACTGGAGCCAAAAAAAAGGTTTTGCTATAGTTCTCCTTTAAACACGCCTATGAAGTTGTTTTCCACTATGAGCTTACCAATGCCCAAACCATGATTTTTTTCTATTACTTACCACTAAGATGCAGGATAATTTCCAAAGCACGGTCACACTTATACTCTTCTGCCAAGCTAATCCAGATAGAGGAAGCTGAGAGTGCAAAAGGGCTTGCATCAGCACGGAGAGCATGGGATGGACTCTCTATACCTGTACAAGAGGAGAAGTAACATAAGTAACATTACCCTTGGAGTGTGTGTATATACACATACATACATACACATATATATATATAACTACAGTATATGTGTTACTGAATCTCGTGTGATTTATCCTTATATAATAGTTTACAAGTAAAATACTCACCTGCCAGAAGGCAAGGTCCCTGAACTTGTAAGCGGAAAGAAAGCTGATAGCGCTGTGGGTTCGTGGCCATGCCAGTGAGAGCAGTAGAAAGAGATCGGGGATGTGAAGAGTGCAGTAACTGGGATGATGAATCTGGAAGCAGCACCCAGGAATTTACCCCTGCTCCGCTCACACTCCCAAAACAACTGGCCGGACTGTAAGACAAAGAACAAAGAAACGTCTTCAAAGTGCATACCTTATTATCATAGCCACATAGGTGTATTGTGACCTAATTCCATCTAACACAAGGAGAGTGTACTGTAGGATGCATGCATCAGTAAATGAAAACAATCACTTATCACAATATAAAATTCATGTTTCCTTACTGAGAATTTGGCCAAGGTGCCTTAAGCTTTAATGTTGACAGAACAGATAAGAAAATGAGAGGTACAATGAAGACTGCTACAGAGTAGCGGTCTTTAACTTTGTTTTTTTTTAAATGACTTAAAAGCGGAGACTATAACAAATAGGTTCCAGAAAATAAAAATAATGTTTTATAAGGCTCAAGCAGAGCAAAAGGTCAGACTACTTCTGCAACCAAAGCTCTAAACAGAACAAAATAAAAACTTGTGTAACCCAAGAATAAATGTCCTAGATACTAAGCTCTTTATATTTCTGTGGCACTGAATGCTGGAAAATCTTTTCAAATATACCTCCTCTCAAAGGTCTATCAGGTTCTTTAGTGCTTGGTTTTCATTTTTGAGCACTACAGTCAAACAAAGCTACAAAAGGTTGTGACTACAGAATGAATATGTGGTAGAAGAAGAACAGATAGCACAGAAATTAGGAGATTCAAGTACAGTGAGGGATAGGACAGCTTTTGTATTACAGATGACACCAGAAAGACCAGTACACAGAACAGAAAAATACCATGAGCACAACCTGTCGTCAGAAAGACCATCCCCATGCTCGTTAGGATCCCCTGGATTCAGGGCCAAGGGTGTAAGGGTGGAGTTGAGGGTCACACGCACAGCTCCTCCTGGAAGAGTTTGCAGCTCTCTGCTACTTTGCAGAGTCACACTCACTACTGAAGAGGGATGTACAGCTCCCACACTAAGCACAAATACATTGTGCGCCGTGTCTGCGTCCAATACAAGGTGACCTAAAGACACGAAACAGAGAGACAAAGTGAAGAGGTTGAGAGGGTAAAATTCTAAAAAACAGACCTGACAATAACAGAGCTTTCAAGTAAAACTGAATTAAAATTTGAAAAACAAAATGCTGTTACAGGGAACATTTAGAGATATTAATTATGCCTAGCTAGCACCCCAAAAAATGTAGTCTTGCTAAATAATATCTCCTGAAAAATAGAAGTGAATTTGTATGTGAGGTTGTCTAGGTACTCATGTACCTACAGCCTCATGTCTGCTGAGTGAGATCTAAGGCACTGATGCATCTGATTAGGAGATTTGGTCACCATTTTCCTTACTGGAGGCGCCTCTACTAAGAGAGGTGCCTCTACACAGAGACACAGCACAGAATATGGCATGGTAAGTCAGCAGTGGTGAAAAATAGGGATGCACCGATACTTGTATCGGTGCCGATACCGGGTATTTGGGAGAGTAATTACCCAAATGCTCCTGATGCCTATCCCGAAACCAAAACTTCCAGTATCAGTAAGCCGGGCAGCGAGTCATTACACACTGTTTGGCTTCCATTGGCCTGGTCACCAGGGAGCGTGGAGCTACCTTCCCAGCCAATCAGGAAGCTGGGGGGTGAGTAATGACTCGCTGCCTGCTTCCTGATTGGCTGGGAAGCCGGCTCAATGCTCCCTCGGCACTTGGAGCCGGCCAATCAGGAAGGTGGGCAGCGTGTAATGACTCGCCCTCTGCCTACCTAATTGGTCAAGAAGCTGGCCAATCAGGAAGCCGGGCGGCAAGTCATTACCTGCCCCCCAGCTTACTGATTGGCTGGGAAGCTAGCTCCCTGGTGACATGGCCAAGCGAGAAGCCAAACAGTGTGTAATGACTCGCCGCCTGGCTTCCTGATACCGGAAGTTCTGGTATCGGGATAGGCATCTGGTAACAAGGTAGCATGGAGCCGGCTTCCCGGCCAATAAGCAAGCCAGGCAGCATGTAATGACTCAGCTTCTCGACCAATTAGGAAGCCAGTCGGTGAGTCATTGGCCAGAAAACTGGCTCCATGCTCCCTCGTCACCTGGTGATGAGGGAGCATGGAGCTGGCTTCCCGGCCAATCGGGAAGCTGGGCGGCAAGTCATTACACGGCGGCCGGCTTCCTTAATGAGACTTCCAGTATCGGCAAACACTGAAGAAAAAAAATATCGGTACTCGTACTTCATGCCGAAAAACCGGTATCGGTACATCCCTAGTAAAAGATCTGTTGCAGGGCGACCAGAGGCAATACTGGTGACTAGTCCTTTGCCTTTTTCCTTCATTTTTTTTTTTTTGCACGGCTTCCAAAATTCAGTTCATTGTTAAAGCACATTAGCAACTAAACATTTCCAAAAAATAAACAATTAGCCCAGTTATAAAATTCTGCCTATAGGGATAGCAGTGTTCCCAATACTCAAGCACCTCTGCGATGTTACATGGTGTGAACGAGGGCTAAAAACTTACTTCATTTGCTGTTAAATATACTACTAGAAGCTTTATGCTACATCAGTGCAGAAACATTATGGTTGATTCTGCCAAAAATCTTGTGAGCTGATAGCAAAGGCAGATAGAACAGGAAGTTAACTTATCAGTAAGCATTGTGGCAGCTCTCCCTGTGGACTACAAAATGCCTCTCCTCTTGGTTATGGAGAAGAGGGTGAGGTGTTCTGTGAGGTGTTCTGTAGTCCTAATACAATGCTGCTCCTCCACACAGGGCCGGCCTTAGGCCTTTAGGCGCCCTGTGCGAGAAAGCTTTACAGCGCCCCTCAGTGGCCACACCCTTTAGTGGCCACGCCCCCGTAACCACACCCATTTCCCCCAATATATGCACCATTTAAAGACTCCTATTTTGTTAAGCCGCAAAGAAACATATTAAAAAGTGTGATAAAAATAAAACTTTTATTCAAAGGTATTAAACTTGTAGGCACAATAGAAGTATTCTTATCAAATAAAACAACAGAAGGTAAACAATAAATGTCAAACTACAATAGAGTCTATAAAAATAAAGTGTCAGGTCGTCATGCTGACCCCTTTTTTCAAGTAAGTGCATCTAGAAAAGTAAAAATAAAAAACAGAACACATACCCCGGGCTACATGTAAATGAAGCCAGGGGTCTGTATTGTATTCAGACACATAATAATAATAATTTGTTTGAGAATGTGCGGCGGCCATGTTGGCCACCAGCGTGTTCTCTGAATGCGTGCCACCATCTTGGAGGCAGGGAGCATGACGTTACATGACGCCATGCATGCGTGGCGTCAGGTGACCTCACACGCCGATATTGGCCCCACCATCTTGGTGTATACCTAGATATACACCAAGATGGCGGCGCCCAACACGTGCGGTGTTATATGACGTCATGCGCCCTGCCTCCAGAGCACGCCAATGGCTGAATCCAAAATAGCATATAAATGTGTTTTGTTTGATGAAACAAATGAAAACTTTTTTAGTTTTCGTTCATTTCATCTGAAATGAA